GCGTATTAACTAAGGCTGAGAAAAATTATAGCATGGTGCATAAAGAAGCACTAAGTATTTATTGGGCAGTTACTAAATTTTATGAATATTTAGCTGGTAGAAAATTCGAGATAGTAACTGATCACAAATCTTTACAAACTTTGTTTGGGGAATATAAAACTTTACCTAAAATGGCAGCAGGGAGACTTCAGAGGTGGTATTTGTTTCTTAGTGGCTTTGATTACACTATAAGGTACATAAGCGGTAAAGAAAATGTCAAAGCTGATGCTTTAAGTAGATTACCTTTGCCTTTGTCTGAGCCAGTTGAGCAGATTGAATATGATTACCTGAATTTTTTAGAAACAGTTACTGCGATTGATACTAATAAAATAAGGTCAGAGACTAGACATGATGCTGTTCTGGGTCAAATTTTCAATTTTGTTAGACATGGTTTTCCTGGGCATACCAAAAATGAGTTATTTAAACCTTATTTTATTAGACAATCTGAATTGTCTATTGATAATGAAGTTTTACTTTGGGGATACAGGGTGATTGTACCTACCAAGTTAAGACAACAGCTTTTATTAGAGCTTCATAGCACCCATGAAGGGGTTAGTAAAATGAAGGCTAATGCTAGGTCTTATTTTTGGTGGCCTTCACTTGATAAGGACATTGAGAGAGTTGTGTCTGAGTGTCGTATGTGTTCTACTTGTCGACCAGAACCTAATAAATCTACTTTAATTCCTTGTGTGAAATCAAACTATTTCTATGAACGTATACATGCAGATTTTTTAGGTCCGATTAAAAATAAGATGGTTTTAATTATTATTGACACTTTTTCTAAATGGCCAGAAGCCTTTATCATGAAAAGCACTGATGCGGTGAGTACGGTTGAAAAATTTCGGGAATGTTTTGCTAGATTTGGTCTACCAAAGGTTGTAGTAACTGACAATGGTCCGCAATTCTGTTCTGATGAGTTTTCTAAATTTTTAAATTTTAATGGAGTCAAACATCAGACCTCTCCTCCGTATCATCCTGCGACTAATGGTTTCGCTGAAAATGCAGTTAAAAATTTAAAAAGTAATAGTTCAAAAGCATTTAAAGAAGAGGCCAATAGTGATGTCTCTTTTGAAACTCTAATTAGTAGATATTTGTTTCATTATAGAAATTCAGTACACACTACTACAGGTGTTACACCAAGTAGTTTAGTTTTCAAGCATAAGATTAGAAACCGATATGATTTGTTGACAGAAAGAAGTGTTAAGTCTGATAAGAATGTTCTAAATTATCCTGGTAAACGAAACGAGCTTTTTAAGGAGGGAGATAGCGTATTATGTAGAGACTTCAGAAACCCAAATAAAAAGGCTTGGGTCGAAGCTAAAATAGATGAAGTTCTTAGTGATAGAATTTATTTATGTAAAGTGTTACATGAAAATTTGATTTGGAAAAGGCACATCAACCAAATATTGAAGTCAATTGAAACCTGAAGTTGATTTTAAGCAGGCAACATTGGATGATGCACCTACAGCCAAAAATAATAGTTTAATATCTGATAAGTATTGTATTTCCTCTTCTGTACCTAACTGTGACTCAAAACCCGCAAATGACATTTTTGAACCAGTGATTGAACCCATTTCTAGTGAAGTGTTTAGTCCTAGAAAAATAATGACTGAAACTAAAGCAGCAAAGTGTTTATTAAAAGAAAATAGTAAGGTTGCTAGTTTGAATGTTAATGAGCGTCCCAAAAGAATTATAAAAGCACCTCAACGTTTAAATTTATAGGTAGGGTAGATTGTAGTATATTGGATAACTGCTCTTAGCATTTCATAGTTTTTATATTGTCATGTCAGGTTTTTGTCATTATTTTTATCAAGGTATATTTTTATTAAATTCTATTTCTTTTGTTATCTTCACTAGTTACTAGCCATGGTTACTGGTTGTTAGAAAATAAACTTGGATAATTTTCCTATGATTATTCCAGAAATCCTCTTTGTTTGAATTCCCAGTTATCACAGTGCGGAATGAACCCCACCAGAAAATATGTCACAGTTTACTTTGGCAGTTTACCTGTTACCTATATTTAAAAAAAAAATATGTCAAAATAGTTCTGAATGAGAATTCGTCTTGGTGTTGGTGTGCATTTTAAATCCAGATAAATGTTTCCTAAATTGAAAAAAAAATCAGATTTTACACAAAACACAAGAAGTTTGGCCGTTTTTGCACTACTCGGAAGAAAAATCCTTCAATATTCAATAATGAGGAAAAAGTTTTGTTTGGACTTCAGTTCAAAATCAGTTCTAAATTGGACTGCGCTTGCGCATTTGGTCATATCAAATCTATAATATAAGGAAATGCGAAAGCGTAGTACAATTCTGAACTGAAGTTCGAACAAATCATTGAAAATATTGACATTGGAAGAACTATTTTGAAAGCTGCCAATTTCATTTGTGTATCAAGAAGCGACATACGTTTTGTCACTAGAACGACTGGTACTTCTAAATAGGTATTAAAAATACTATACCTTCTTACTAAAACGATGAAATTTCAAATTTTTTTTTGTCGAGATTTTGTATCCTAATGGTCAATCAACATACCCCAAACTCCATAAACTAAACTATTCTCAGATTTGAAGCCGAAATCTATGAAAAAAGGCACTCAGAAAAATTGAAAAATTAATAAAGCACCCCAAATTGCTTAACACGATTTTATCTCAGGTACTATAAGTGCAAATGAGCTGAAATTTTCAGGGATTGTTGTCCCTTGATTGGGATAAAATTCAGTGAATTTTCCAACTGAATAACGAATGGTGGATCAAATTATTGTTACATACATTTTATATTGTATTCAGGCAATTCGAAAACCCAATGAAAAAGAAAGGCGGGACGGCCTCATTTCCCAAGTCAAAAATCTAGTAACTAAAGTCTGTCTTTTTTTTTTTAAAGAAAAAATCTTAAGCAAAAAATCCTAATGGACGTGTTTTTGCGTTTTGTCCACATATTTTACCCGGAGGCTCTAGCGAATTAGTTCCAGTAGGTTCCAGTTAAAGTCCCCACCCTGTACATGTATGCAAATCTTGCTTCGCAGGTCGCTTTCAGCACGTTGAATGCTTTGGTCGTAGTTCTTCAAAAATTATTGCCTCATCTGGTGTTTCACAAAACTCCATTCTAGGTCCATTTTTCTTTAACTCTTTTATCAATAAAATATCCGAGAATCTTAATGTCAAAAGTCTATTATATTGTGTTGATATGAAACTGTACTGTAGGGTGGACATCATATCTGACTGCATTCAACTTCAAGCCGATCTAACTTTAGTAAACCAACGGTGTAAAAATAACAATCTGCCACTCAAAATATCCCATTGAATTTAATTATAACATCGATAATTCTTCTCTACTCAGATCACACTCTTTTAAAGATATAGGGGTGAGCTTTGACACTTCTCTGTCATTTCTTCCTCACATTTCCGATATAATAAGAAGAAGTTACAAAATGCTAGGCTCCATAATAAGAAATTCTAAGGCTTTTAATAGCATTCATAGTCTCAAAATATTATACTTTTCATTCCTCCTATTCTAGAATATGCTTCCCAAGTCTGGTCACCCCACCATCAAATTCATATTCACGATCTAGAAAATATTCAAAGGAGATTTCTAAAACATCTTTGGTTTCGTTGTGAGGGAATGTATCCAGAAATCGGTTTTCCTCATGAGCGTCTGCTTGGAAATTTTCCTACGAGGATATTAGTTACGACTCGAGTTACAAGAAGGAAGTCGGGCTGATATACAATTTTTATTCAAATTAGTGAACGGTAAAATTGACTCTCCTGAGGTCTGAGAACAACTCAGCTTTCATATACCTTGGATATCATCACGAAATCCACAAAATTTTTATTTGGCAAGACCGAAAATTAATATAGGAAAATTCTCTCCTCTGTGCAGAGCATGCAACATGTATAATTCTGTTCAGGATCAGTGAGACATTTTTAACTGTAGGCTATCAAAAATTGAAAAAGTACGCTTAGCTCAGATTTAAATGTTCTTTCCTGTATTTTTTTTATGTATACCGATCTTACTTTGCTTCTTTAATATGTACTTATCTATTTTAGTACTTAGTTAGTATTTATAGCTGTAAGTTTTCCCATTCAATAATTGCATATATTTCTGTGGAGTGGTGTAAATAAAATAAAATAAATAATGTAGCTTTGATAGTGCCAGGAAAGTAATAAATCAAGAGAAAATGCACATGCTATGTTAAGGAGAAGACCTCGAGAGTTGTGAACTTATAATGTATTCTATGAAACCCTTGAAAAATTAGGGAGATTTAGCAAAATCTTGGGAGATTTAAGGAAATCTGTGGATAGGTATCTTTTGTATAAAGATATCTCTTATACACTTGAAATGTTGTTATTAACCCCTCGTGTATTCTTATGTATTCCTTTGTATTCTTATGGATTCGTTTGTATTTATTGTAAAAAATACCTACCTTAAATACGGTTTTTCAGGACTCATCCGCTTTTTCATAGAAACAGCAACTATTCGTCCTGAAAAACCTTATTTTAGGGGTACTTGTAACAAAAATAGCTATTTTCTCCTGCTTACCCAATACTATCATTGATTAAGATGAGACACCTTTCTACATATGAGCAAAATTATTATACCTACCTAAATCATAGATGACCACATATTATAAAACTAGTTTTTTGGACAAAAACCTTGATAAATAAAACTAGGACAATATTATAACCTCTCAAAATGTATCTGCTGTAGATGCTAATTAAAACTATTATAAATCAATTAATTTTACAATGAAATTGAACATTTAACTTACCTGTATGAATTTATCGCATTGTCATTGGCATTTTTCAGCAGGAAACAATGGAAAATGAAAAACAATGTAGTGATAATTTTTTCTCTTTAATTATTTACTAATCATATGGTGAGTCACTTTTGTTTTGACGTTTGACATAGGCCCTCCTGTAAGAGGAAAAAGGAGAAAATATAACAACTTTCTTTTCTAACATGAAAAATATCTGACAAAAGATGGCACCTCTACCAATTTTCAGTACTGTTTAGTACTTTTTCGGGGTCACAAGTACAAAGTACACAAAATTTAAAAATTTAGGTACCTATTTAATTTGATAGTGTTTTGTGATAATTGACTACTTTATTATAGGAAAAATGTCTTCAAAAAACATCAAAATATCGTTTAGAGACGGTGTCCGCAAAATCCTCATCGACAGACCAGAAAAACACAATGCCTTATCACAAATCATGTACAAAACATTAACAGATACCCTCAACCAAGATGCCAAAGACGACAAAATAATTGTAACCATAATCACTGGTGCTGGACAGTACTATTCCAGTGGCAACGACATAAAAGATCAAATGAATTCAGACTTGCCTTTTGAAGAAAAACTTAATTTTGCAAAAGATTTAATACAAGCCTTTATTGATTATCCTAAAATACTTATAGGTAAGTTTAAAATCACATTATAAATGCATCAATTAAGAATTTTTATTTCAGCTGTAGTAAATGGTCCAGCTATAGGCATCGCAGCGACTACAGCAGCCCTTTGCGACATAGTCTACGCCTCAGAAAAAGCCATTTTCGATACACCGTTTATTAATTTAGGTTTATGTGCAGAAGGCGCTTCCAGCTACACTTTCCCTGGAATTCTAGGCCGCAGCAAAGCTTCTGAAGCTCTGCTTTTAAATAAAAAAATTACAGCTCAAGATGCTTATAAGTTTGGGCTAGTGTCTGAAGTAATAGCTCACGACAAAATTGAGGGTTTCATAGAGAGTTTGCATCAGTATGGCTCGTTGCCATTAAACACTGTTAAGCTCAATAAAAAATTGATTATGCATAATTTGAAGAATATTCTCACTGATGCTAACATAAGGGAGTTTGAGGGTTTGAACGAGTGCGTTTATTCTGAGGAATTCGGACAGGCTGTTGCTAGATTTATGAGCAAGAAGAAAAGTAAATTGTGAAGACTGTTGTTGATATATAAGCGTGGTCTGGTAAATAAGTTTTGAGTGAGATTTGCAATCACTCCTGACAAGGTTCTATATTATGACTGATACTTTTGCTCCAACCCAACTGCCATCAAGGTGCCAAACAAATTTATCAACTACTGCCTCTCTAAAAAGACAAATTTATATTATTTAATAAACAATATTATTGCAGTTTGTTATTAACTGGAAATTTTTATTTTATTTATTTATTTACAAACTCAACAGATTACATCCACTTATAGAGTAGGAAAAAACTAAACTAAACTAAACTGAACAATGCAATTTTTATTCATTAACCCTCTAATTATCTGGTAAATTGTTTTCCTAAATTTTCCATAATCTAACGCAAAAATATTACACTCGTTTCTTACTTCATTATACAGCCTGCACATCGCTATAATGGGAGAATTGTAATGTGTAATGTGGTAATTTGTTCTTACATTGTTTATATAAAATATTAGTAAGTCCCTTGTCCTATAGGATTGTACACAAAAATTTAGTTGACTCAACAAACCTGGATCGCAAACGAACCCATGCAGTAGTCTATACAGAAACATCAAAGCAGCAGCTTTTCTACGCATATATCCAAAGATCCAATGTTGAGAGAGACCATGACCTCTTGCTTAGCTATGTGTAACTCATATATCCCCCTTTTCTTATAGTGAATATATCTTAGAAATTTATTCTGAATTTTTTTCAATTTTGTATTTATGATTACTATAGCATGCGTTCCATATAACTGAACAAAATGCTCCTTACATATAATATTCTGATACACTCTACATTGCGAAACAGCTTCTAGCTCCGGACAACAAAACCATATACATCTGCGTTGCTTTATTTACGATATTGGACAAGTGTTTCCCAAAAGTCAACTGCGTATCAAAAGTAACCCCAAGATCTCGCATTTTAGTAACTTCGCTCAAGAGATCATCATTAATTTTATATGGGAACCTCATCATGATATTTTTCTTTTTGAAAGTGTAGAACAAAGCATTTATGTAAATTGAAATGTAATTCATGTTCAAGTGTCCATTAATGTAACTTATTTAGATTAAATTCCAGTTGTTGACAATCACCCTCATCACGAACCCTTGAGCTTCAGATCGTCTGCAAACATCAATGTTTCTGAGTTTGTTATATCTTTACCTATGTTATTGATAAACAATATGGACCAAGATTGGAGCCCTGTGGAACACCTGATTTAGCCAAATAATAGTCAGAACAGTATCCCCTCATAACAACCCTCTGATGCCTTTCTTCTTAATAAGACTTGAAGAATGCTACCATGAAAACCAAATTCCTCACTTAATTTATTCAATAGAATTGTATGGGATACTTTATCGAACGCCTTAGCAAAATCTGTGTAAATTACATCCACTTGGAAATTCTTATCAAGGCTTTCAGCTATATATTGTGTCATAATTACACAAATTAGTGACTGTTGATATTTTTTTTTTTGGAATTCATGCTGACAAACGATAATACTTCGCAGCGCATAGCTACAAACTTTTTCAAATATTTTAGCTGGGCAGGACAACAGGAGAGACAGGTCTATAATTTTTTATATTAGATTTATCGCCATTCTTAAAAACTGGATATATTTTGGTTTCTTTCCATTGCTGCGGAAATGTATCACTTCTAGGTGAAAGGTTGAATATATCTCTAAGTGGTTCAGCCAGAAATCCTATTATGCCCTTAAAAATGTAAGCTGGAATGTTGTCCGGCCAAACTGCTCTGTTAGTTTTAAGCTCGTTCACAGTATCACAAATATCCCTATGGGTAACTTCAGCAATACAAAGCACATCAGAGAAATCAAAACTTTCCAGACGATCCGAATTGTCAACTTTATTACTATCATCATATACAGAGCTAAAGTATGAGGCAAAGGCATTTGGTATATACCCTTATTACTTCCAGTATACTCATCATTTAAATGCATATTATTACGAATACCTGTTGATTTTTTGTTATTATTTACATACTGCCAAAACGATCTTGAGTCTTGAGTAATATCAAACTGAATTTTGTTAAGGTATTGATCATGGGCGTTTTTGATGTCAATTTTTATTTTAGAACGTAACTCGTTATACTGATTCTGATAACATGATAACTAAAAATATTCCCGTGCTTATATTTCTTTTTGATGTCTGTGCTAATACTTTTGCTAAAGTTAACAGGATACCTGACTACACTCGGTTTCCTTATTGGTATATACAGGGTGTCCACTTAGTACGATATCTCCTTACAGGGTGATGCAAGAAAAAAAAATTAAATTACAAAGTTGTTTGATATTCTAATATGCATTAGTTAAAAATATTTTTGAATATACAGGGTGCTCCGTTTATGGGGTATGCGACAGAACTTTGTTATTTTAAATGGAACACCCTGTATGTGATTGCATATTTGGATTCTACGTAAAATTCTGAGCAGATTTCATGTAATATACCCTATATCTAAGTTCAACTGTTTTGGGAATATTGACAGTTGAAAATTGACTTTTTGCAACTTTGACAGGCTGCAAAACGTAAACGGTTAATTTTAGACGAAAACCGATTTTACATTTCTATCTTAGATTTTCATAAAATATCATTTGACACCAACTTTAAATTTAACCGGAGATTAAATTTAACTGGAATTTTTAATCATGGATTAAATTCAAAGTTGATGCCAAATGATAGTTCATGAAAATCTAAGATAGGAATGTAAAATCGGTTTTCGTCTAAAATTAACCGTTTAAGTTTTACCGCCTGTCAAAGTTGCAAAAAATCAATTTTCAATTGTCAATATTTCCAAAACAGTTGAACTTAGGTATAGGGTATATTACATAAAATCTGCTCAGAATTTTAGGTAGAATCCAAATATGCAACCACATACAGGGTGGTCCATTTAAAATAACGAAGTTCTGATGCATACCCCATAAACGGAGCACCCTGTATATTCAAAAATATTTCCAACTAATGCATATTAGAGTATCAAACAACTTTGTAACTTAAATTTTTTTTCTCGCATCACCCTCAATATCGCACTAAGTGGACACCCTGTATATTCCAAAAATTTCATTGATTTTTTCATAAAAATGTACCACCACTAGATTTACATCCCCAAATAATTTTATATCCCAATTGGTATTTTGAAATAACTGGTACATTGCCGAGTACATTGCATAATAATCAGCTTTCCAGAAGTTATAACGATCATTTACGTTACTATTAGTGGCTAGAGACCTTTGCTTGGCGTTATTTAATTTAACATCTATTCTAAAAGGCGGATGGTGAGGGTCCACATTACCAAAACTAAAAGAGCTTCTAGTTACAAAGCAATGAAACCTTGTCAATATGATATCCAATATAATGGTTGTTATGATTGAAAATTCTGTTTGCCTGTTGACAATTGAGGAAGTCTACAGTATTAAGTAACATTTCTACATATGATGGAGGCTTTACTGTTTGCTGAGTAGAAGTCTCCTAACCTAGTGATATTAAAGACACCAACAATAACAAAACTACCTTCATACAAGTATTCAAGGCTCTCCAGATATGAGAACAAATCGTTTCTACGTAGAACTCATAGAACATCTAGGTTTGTAGACTACAAAAACGTATATATGTGAATGATCTTTTACATACAGCTTTTACACCTACCATATCTATGTCAGGACACTTATAATCTAGTTTTAACAATAGGCACCTATAGGTTCCCTTTACTGCCACTAATACACCTCCACCACGCTCATTCTCACATCTGTTTCCATTCTTGGAAACAACAAAATTATCTGGAAAAAGTTCACTATTGTATCAGTATCCGAAAGCCAGGTTTCTGTTAGGATGATGAGGTCGTACTCATTCTCAGTCAATTGTACTGCATGATAAAAATCATCCTTGCTTTTGCTGTTCAGGCCTCGTACATTTTGGTAAGCTATACTAAATTAGGTCAGTTCCTGTATCGTCATTCACACTCACATTCACTTTCTCACCGTCTTGGGCACTGTCGTACCCATCAATGTTGTTTTCCCTTATAAAAAAAAACTCAGGATTGGAACTGGTGTAATTGGTTTAGTTCTGTAGCCTCTGGATTCGTTGTACATGAATTGGACAATTGAGATCACGAGCTGAATGATTTCTTTCTTCTAACTTAGATCTTTTGCAATTGGGACAATCATATTTAGTAGAACTACATTGTTGGGATCCATTGGGATCTCTACACTTGTGGCAACATTCGATGGCTGCCCAATACTTTGCAACATGTCCAAATAGGCAGCATTTGAAGCATATGGAAACATTGGTGTATTCAGTGACATAGGCCGGGCAGAGGTCAAACCTCGGGTTATTGTTGATAAACCATTTGAAACACTTCAGGAGAAGTTTGATAAACCCAATTTTCTTTGATGTTATTTCTACATTCCCTTTTTTGAACATCTACACCAAACAATTGTGACATATTTTCACTGACAAATTCCTCGATAAAGTTCTCAGGTGTATATCCTTTTAGTATACCAGTTATTATCATTGGGTCCATATTTTTCATATTTTTAACCTCGATATTCTTGTTCGAATTGGCTAAACTTTCGCTTAGTATTTTCTGTTGTTCTTCATTCTGGTAGTCTTTAATAACATCCCCATTCTGTAACTGCTTTACTTTTTTGAAACTATCAGTCATGTTAACTGAATTCATATGTGTTTTTATTAGGTACCTGCTTTAACACTTTTGAGTCATTTTGCCCTTTGATTTTGATTAGGCTCTCGTGCTTGGGTTTTGTTGGAGGAGGAGTTTTCCAGTTTGTTGTATCTGTTGAAGATCCTGGATTATTGCTAGCAGGTGCATATTTTAGTACATTGCTCTGAGAAGGTTTGGCACTCTGTGATAACTGGGGCTTATGAGGCCGGTTTTGTACTAAGCTCAAGGGCGATTCTGTTGTTGCATTAGTTAATTGTTGAATGCGATAGTTCAAATCTCAATTAATTTTTTCTGTTTGTCCAATTTTAAACGCTGATTGTAAATCACAAACAGGGCAGACTGAATATCTTGTCTGTGCCCTGACGCGTCCAGTTCACTTAAGTTTTGTATGCTTTCAAGCGAATCTAGAATTACGACCGAACTGTGCAACAAGCGTACGCGTTCTTGCAGTCAATACTGCTAAAATAATTCTTCAGTTCCGTATAGTTCGCTTTTTTGAAAAGGTAGTTAGTATAGTTGGATCTTCAGCTTTCAACGTTTGTCTACTCTATGAAAAACTAAGCTCCAAAGGTAGATGTATACTTTATCGGATACATTCCCAGATTACAAGCTTTGCATTTTCGGTGATTTCAACTAATACTCGTGGCACTCTACTTGATCTGGTTTTCACTTAGGACCCCGAGGATACTTGTCTCTTAGCTAATGACATTATCCTCCCCATTGATGCATATCATCCTGCTTATTTACTCTTTGCCACCTGCAATGCTGACGTCGCCCAGCCTGACGCGTACTATTATGATTTTGGGTCTGCTGATTACACACTCCTCAGCGATAATCTTGGGATGGTTCGCTGCCTCGCCTGTTACTCCGGGGTCTCGATGTGACGGAAATGTCCAGGGTTTTCTATGACGTTCTCTATAGGACTATCGATTGTTATGTACCAACCCTTGAACTAAAGGACCTAATAATTAAGAAGAAAAGCGCCTACAGAACTGGGAAGCAGATGGGTTCCCTTGCTGACTATGTTGAATTTTCACACTTTCGGGCTCAGTGTAAAACTCTTTCCAAGGATTGCCAAACAAATTATGTCATATCCTCAGAGGTGTCATTGCTTAGGGATAAAAACCAGACAATAGACTCATGGACTCCCTTCTTACAGGTTTTATGACGGTAAATTCGCCAAAACTGTACCTGAACTAGCTAATCTTTTCGGTGCATACTTTCATTCTGTATACTCAGACAAAGCATGTGTTACTGGCCACAGCATTTTTCATATGTAGTAACATTCACATTCGTGACTTTGAAATCTCTATCACGAGGAACTGTGTGAGCTACTGATCTTTTGTGGACCTGGCCCGGCTGGCATCCCCCCTTTGATGCTTAGCAGGTGTAGCTTTATACTATTTCGTCCTTTGTTTATTTTGTTCAATGAATCACTTAGTAGTGGGGTATTTCCTGAGATTTGGAAGCGGAGTTTTATCACGCCTATCCATATATACTGGTGGACATTAACAAATACAAGCCTATCAGTATCCTTAGCACTATTCTTAAGGTCTTTGAGAATTAAGAGACTTCTTAACCCCTATCATCAACCCTTGCCTAATCGAACAGCAAGCAGGTTTCCGGCCAAAGTACTCAGCCGAAACTAACCTGCTCCTGCTGACGTACCAGGATAAAATCTCAGGGATTCTTGAAAGCAGAGTTGTTCACTCCATATATAGGTACCGATTTTGCTAAAGCCTGCTTCGACTGTGTCAACCACAACATCCTACTTGCGAGGCTTGAGAGAATGGGAATATCTGGTACTCTGCTTGCGTGGATTAGGAACAGAACCGAAACAGTCAAGATATCAACTTCTGCTGACATGCCCTTAAGTTTACCACTGCTCTTCAATATTTTCATAAACGATATTGGTTCTTGTTTAATTATTAGTGAGTTTCTCTGTTTTGCCGATGACTTAAAGATATTCGCCCAAGTCTCCTGCCACCACCACTGTGCCAGACTACAATCTGACTTGGATAGACTTTCCGAATTGTGTGTCACAAGGGGCATGGAACTCAATGCCTCTAAATGTAAAGCATTCGTTTTCTCCAAAAATCAAAGACTCATACAATTTGTTTACCACATAAGTAGGTAATGAACCATTTGAAACAGTGTCCCAACAACGTGATTTCAATGTCATTTTTGATAAGATGTTAAGCTTCTCCAGCCATATTTTGGATATCGCTACGTCTCTGGAACTGCTGGGTTTTGTTAAAAGGTGTTCAAGAGACTCCACTAACATCTTTTGCATAAGGTTTCTCTACTGCAAAATGATAAGGCCCATCCTGGAATACTGCTCCTCGGTTTGGTCCCCCATGTTTCCTGTCCACATCAACGCTTTGGAGCAGGTGCAGCATAAATTTGTCCGGTACTTGACCTTCAAGGCAGGTATTCCTTCTCCCGAAAATTATATCTACATCTATGATGACCTCTACCGACGCTTCAACCTGAAACCCTTAGCCGCCAGACGAAATCAAAGTGATTTATCAACATTTTTCAAAATACTTAACTCTTACGAGTGCATACACCTACTGTCCAGAATTGGACTTCATGCCCCAGCAAGAACTACACGCTCTTCCACTATCTTCTCAGAAAAGATCCACCGGACTAACTATGGTTCGAATACTTTTATCTCCAGAGTTGTCCGAATCTGTAATGAGTTCAATACCCTGGACTTTTTCAGTACTCGTGAAGACTTTAAAAGACAGCTTAACTCCTTGAACAAAGTTCCTGTACCTGTCCCACTTCCAATGCTCATGATTGTAGAATTATCATTATGATATATTGAAATAAATCAAATTTACATTGATAAGACATTTTAATTGCCATCTATTTACATATAAGACTCAGTTTTGCACAATTTCGACCACCTCAACCATAATAAGAAATACTTCAATTTGATATGGCATTTTTTTTCAACACTAACTGTATGAAACAATTTGTAAGTATACTAAAATAAAATAAAGCATATTTGTATAAATTAATTTAGTTATCACCTTAATCCAATAGAACTATACAATAACATGAAAAATAAATAAGTTTTCTTAAATCTGATTTATTGGCCTAAGTAAATACGAAATCAGATTCTACATTTACATCCCAAGGGACAGTAAACATGTCCTGTGGTAAAGGAACGCAATGGGTAGCTTTGAAATCCTTCATGTATTTTGTAGCCTGAAATTTAAAACTTGTAGATTTCTCATAAAACTCCTCAAGAATACTTACCAGAAAAAGGGCCATCTGATTTTTTTCATTAAAATCAAATTCTTCACCAATTTTCATGGGAAAAGATTTCGAATGTTCAGAAATGTAAGATTGAATCAGTGAGAGACATACACTAGGATCTACATTGTATTTTTCAATTACCCTTTCTAAAAAAAAATTTAAAATAATATGTAAGTAGGTACCAAAAAAAAATACAAAAGTATACCTTGTTCTATACCAGTAACTGCCAAATAATCATTCAAAATCGCCAATTGAGGTCCACCAAAAATACAAGGATATCTTTTAGTCAAAATTTTAATCAACAAATCATTGCCCCTATTTGAAGACAAATTCCCATCTTTAATGCAAATAACCTCATCCTCAGAACGTCTTATCAACAATATAGGCCCATTGAATTTAACAAGTTGCTCGTAAACATCTAAATTAACGTGTTCTCTTATGGCTAACTTTACTATAGGCTCCCACCATCCGGGCATATGATTAATAGCCAAAGGCATTATATCGTCAAAAGTAGCATCAATTACAACCCCTTTGATAGCTGGATAAGCCATTGCAGCCCACGACGACGTATAACCTCCAATACTCCAACCAAAGAAAATAATATTTTCCATTTTAAAATTGAGTTTATCCATTGCAAATTGCATAACTGCATCTACAGCGTTTTGTTCTTGAGAAGGATAGGGCATACCCTAGAATTTTTTAAAATCAAAAATCAATAACACAAATTAAAAAAAAAGTTCTTACTGTGCTTCCTCCAAATCCAGGATGATTCCAGCCCAAAACAGAATATCCAGCTGCAATAGGCGTAATCATAGTACCAATTTCGTAAAACCCTGCATTACCTTCACAACAAATTACCAAAATTTCACCGCACCCCTTTGACTTTCTTCTATCAAGAAACATTGTGTCAATATCATTTTCGTCTGTAGTTTTTATTTTGAATCTTTCCCCCTTGTATAGTTGAACTAAACGAGATCTGCCTTGAAGCAAGCTACTATCTAAAAAAAAACATTGAACAATTTTTTGGTTGATAGGTAATTAATTATTATAGTTAAATACCTAATATTGTTTGTAAAATACCAACGCTTCCTGGATAAATTAATCTAATACCAAATGTGTGAATAGCCAAATATGCAATCATCCTGAATGGCAAGGACATTAAATACTCAACATTGTTTTGAGATCTTCTAGCAGTTGATCTTGAGATGGGACTAAGTACATATATTGTCAAAATAAGTACAAAAAATGTCTACCAATTTTTTAAATCTTACCTCCTTTGTCTGCTCAAATCGTACTCCACGGGCCAACTCTTGAATTCAAAATCGTACCTCATCAATTCTGGTTTGGTTACAGTGACATTTTCTTCTGCCCTCTCAAGCACCTCCAGAAACCTTTGATAAGTAGTGTTCTGTGCTCTACCAATGCCTTTAAAGCAAATAGACACTATTAAAATCACTCCCATCCCGGCAGCGAATTTCATAATCAGAGCCAGGCCTTGCGGTTCCAAGTAGCCCTTGTTGTAGAGGATTATGCCCCAGAAGGGGCTGGTGTACAATCCGAACTTCCATATGGTGTAGATCTGGAATTATTGTTTGAATTTAATGAAGTAAATATCTCATATTTCAAATTATATCATAGATAGGAAGTTAAAATTTTCAGTGATTCTTATCCTAGTGCTGGACTATAATAGCTGAAAATTTCAACTCAAGAATTTAGGGTGAATTTTTGGATTTTTCAATTTTCCTGAGGTCCTTCTTTAAAGATTTTGGCTTAAAATCCCATAATAAATCACTGTATGGAGTTTCTGGGGTCCCAATTGATTGTCTAGACCCGAAATCCATTTGGAAAGAAGACCCCTATCTTTGGACATGAATTTTTGAAAACTTCGAATAATGAATAAACTTCTTGAAACAGTACTTAGTTGAAAAATTGACAATGCTTCTAAGATAAATATCTACGAATATTCACGAGTTTGGTGTTATACAAAAAAAAATTCATTTCAGTACGTAGCTAGCTACCTTGATTGTAAATAACAATGTATAAATAAAAAATTAGAAATGGTTATCAAGGGGCAAACCACCTGGGAATTCTTTGCCAAAACTGTGGGTAATTTGAAAGGATTTGTGGGGAATTTGGAGCAATTTATGGGAAATTGGAGAATTGTATAAGAAATTGGGGGAATTTATTAGTTTTAACACTGAGCGTAATAAAAATAGAAAAATACATTTTTTATCATAAACAGTTTTGGGCTCACCTTGATAAAAATCAAAGTCGAAATGCTTTAAAGTTTTGCAACTGCAAAACTATCGAAGCTGCAATGAAAATACTCAGAAAAGATTTAATAAGCAAAGGATTTAATAAACTTCATTTCAAGCCTTAATACGTTACCAACGTTACGATCGGATTGAAATTAACAAAGATGCAAGGTAAAATGTGGTTCAATGTCATTTTGGAAAAAATCAAGCTTCAAAAAACGACATTGGAGGTCGTTTTATATTTTTTTTTTGAGGGAAGTGTTTGAAAAATTGGCTTGAAATTTTGCGAGTAGATAAAAAAAGGATTGAAATTTAAGAAAAAAGAATAAAATCTTGTTTTTACGTGCTCACCTTGATAAAAATCAAAGTCGAAAGGCTTTAAAGCTCTGCAGCTACGAAGCTGCATTGAAACTATCAAAAAGAGATTGTCCTCAATTCGAGGCTAATTACATTAAGATCGGAATGAAATTGAAAAAGTTGTGAGCAAAAATGTGTGTCAATGTCATTTTGGAAAAAATCAGTTCCAAAAAATGACAGCGAGAACGTTTTATTTTTCTTTGAGGAATATTTTGCACGGATTGGATTGAAATTTTGCAAATGGAGAGAGAAAAGGTTGAAATTTATGAAAAAAAAATAAAAATTTCCTTCTGGCAAAGACAACACTAAGTACTATATTGTACTGTATTGTCTTTGCTTCTGGTCATCCACTTTGATAAAAATCAAAATAAAAATACTTTGAAGTTTCACAACTTAAAATCTATTGAAGCAGCGTTGAAACTACCCAATAGAGATTTATACAGGATTCAATTGCCCCTAATTAGAGCCTAATTATCAGATTGAAATTAAAACAGTTGTGGGCAAAAATGTGTCAATGACGTCATTTTGAAAAAAATCAAAGTTCCAAAAAATGACAATGAGAAGGGTTTATTCTTCTTTGAGGAAAATTTTGCAAGGATTGGAATGAAATTTTGCAAATGGAGAGAGAAAAGATTGAAATTTATGAAAAAAATTAAAAATTTCCTTCTGCTCATCCACCTTGATAAAAATCCAAAGACTTTGAAGTTTCACAGCTGGAAATCTAATAAAGCAGCGTTGAAACTACCAAACAGAGATTTGTCCTTAATTCCACCCTAATTACATCAGGATCGGATTGAAATTATAGAAGTTGTGGGCGAAAAGGTGTGTCAATGTAATTTTGGACAAAATCAAAGTTCCAAGAAATGACAATGAGAAAGCCTTATCCGAGGCCTTATCTTATTTTTTTTTTTTAGAAAAATTTTGCAGGGATTGGATTGAAATTTTGCAAATGGAGAAAAAAAAGATTGAAATTTATGAAAAAATTAAAAAATTTCCTCCTGCTCATCCACCTTGATAAGAATCCAAATGAAAACACTCTAAAGCTTCACAGCTTGAAAACTATTGAAGCAGGGTTGAAACTACCAAATAAAGATTTGTAGAGGATTCAATTGTCCCTAATTCAAGCCTATTTACATTAAGATCGGATTGAAATTAAAAAAGTTGTGGGCGAAAATGTCCGTCAATGTCATTTTGGAAAAAATCAAAGTTCCAAAAAATAGCAATGAGGTTTTATTTTTCTTTGGGGATAATTTTGCACGGTTTGGATTGAAATTGTGCAAATGGAAAGAAGGAAAGATTGAAATTTATGAAAGAAAATAAATAAAAATTTCCTGCTACTCATCGACCTTGATGAAAATCCAAATAAAAGCACTTCGAAGCTTCACAGCTTGAAATCTATTGAAGCAGCGTTGAAACTACCAAATAGAGATTTGTAGAGGATTCAATTGTCCTTAATTCGAGCCTAATTACATCAGGATCGGATTGAAAATGTTGTCATATATAATATAACAAGAGAAAAAAATTTGTCGTAGGTAATACCATAAGAGCTCAGATTTAGCCGGATATTTTTTGGCTTGGTCTCGAATACTTACTTTCAGGAAATTTAACGAGAGCTGTTCCCAAAAAAATCACGAGAGCGCAGCTCGAGTGATTTTGTGGAACAGATCGAGATAAATTGCCTGAAAGTAAGTATGAGAGGGCAAGCAAAAAAATATCTTGCTCAAAATCTGAGCTCGAATGGTATTTAGTATGGCAATTCCACGAATGCATAATCAAAATAAAATATGGAAATACTTTTTAAAATGAACAGTTATTGAAGGTACAATTAGAATACATTTTTGCCCCTTAGAATTTGACTCTACAGAAAGAGAAAAAGACTTTCTTTGTGTTCTCAGGAATTGAATTTTCTATTTCGTTATCAATTATTTCATCATTAATTGTCCCAAATCGGTGCATGTTGAAAATATTTCCAATTTTATTTGACTATTTCACTAGAGTGTATTACACCAGCAATAAATTCGGTATTCACCTGACAATAACGCTACCTGGACAATACCCATGGTATTTCAGCGACCATCTTTTGACATTGTCAAACTGGTATTTTTAATTTGAAGTTTTTATTCATAATTTTGCATTCTATTTATTTCAAAATCTTACGTGAAATAGTCATGACGAATACCACTCGAGAAAAAATTGTGTAGGCACAATTGTTCTCAAGGTTTTATTCAAGTTTGTTGCTTTTCGGCAATTTCGCTCATGACATTTTTGATAAAATTGATTTTGTCAAAAATGTCATTCGCGAAATTGCCAAGCAACAAACTTTCATACCTTTCGAAAATTTTGCCGACAAAATTTTTTCTCTTGTGATATTATATATGAAAATACACTTTTAATAAGCTAAAATGATCAAATTTGTGAATTTTTGTGACACAATTATTTGACAGATGATTCAAAAACCAATTTAATCCGCATGTTGCTAAGAATGCAAAAATATGAATAATAGTAGATTATACCACGAGTCAATAATGATAGCTATTATTCCCGAGGATTATTACGAACTGAGCCGCGTTAGCGGCGAGGGAGTAACATTACGAGGGAATAATAGCCATTACTGCGAGTAGTATACTCTACTTTATTTACAACAAATTAATTTATTTGAGATTTTCAATGAACAAATTTCATCCGTCTCATAATGTTCAATACAAATCCACACGCACTACACGTTTGACACTGACACTTTTGTGGAATAATGACCATTAATCCCGCTACTCGTCATTAATCCCTGGAGGAATAACATATGTCATTATACTGCCAAAATCACAAATATAATACGCACATTATACATTAGTCGTAAATAAAAACTTCAAATCACAAAAATACCAGTTTGACAATGTCAAAAAATGGTGGCTGAAATACCATGTTGTTGGTATTGTCCAGGTACCAATATTGTCACCTGAATTCTAAAGGATAACGCACACCTGACATGGGATTTTTGGGCTCTATGGATTTTGCCCGAGGGGTGTGTTACTGTGTCAAAATATGTACATGTAATTCCAAAACAAAACCTATTTATCTGAATTCCAAAGACTGCCAAAGAATTCCTGCGAGTGCCAAAAAAATCCATAGACTGCCAAAAAGGGGGATGAATTCTACTGACTACAACTGAATTTCAATGACTTCTCAATGAATGCCTGTACTTCCTGTGACTGCAGTATGACTACCATTACTTCTTATACTATTTTTACTAGAATATACCACGTAATTTCGAAGAACTAAATAATTTCCGTACATTTTGCTCCAACTTTTAGATGTCAATTAATCAATTATATAGAAAATTCTCGAGAAAAATATATTTTTTTTTTTTGAACTGTGTTTAGAGAAAATCAGAAAATAACTAGGTAAAACGCTAGTACAACCGAGAGTACAACTAATATTTATTTTAGAAGTTCCATCCACTATCCACAGACTCTTGTACAGGGTGGCCCATTTTCGATATTTTAATGGGCTATGTCAAATACCAGCAGAGATATCAAAAATCTGGGAGCACATTCTTGAGCTTTTTTGGGAAAAAAACAATGGCGAAGACAAATCACGGCTAACTTGATGCGTTTAGGAAATATAGGGCACTTTTCAAATTTTGTCCAATTTTTAAAGACTCCCTAATTTCCTTATTATCCAAGATATCCAAAAACGAAAAATAATTTCTATAGGCAGTTTTTCAAGTAGAATCCAGTGGCATGAATCGGCTACAAATTTCTTAATTCTCAATTTTTCAGTTCAACTAATATTTTTTTTTAATTTGAACCGAGATTTGAACTATGAATTGGGGGTGATAAATAGGCAACACATAATTTATGACCTACCTCTCTCTAGCTCATTTTTTCTTATGGAAAAACGGAATTACCTTTTTTTTTCTCCAAAACTATAGAAGGTAAAGGTATAAAACCTTATATCATTGGAATTAGCT